TATTTTATTGAAATTTTGTTAGGTTGTAGCACTTGGGATTCTGTATTTACTTTGGTGCATTATAGAATATTTGTTCCATGCTATACAGAATGTTTAAAGTTCATTAAGATGGCAAGAGATAAGCCACAAATATGGACTATCGTACAGACCCTAGAGATTTTGTTAATCTGACCTAGATGTTCTTTTTGTTGATTGAGACCTACTTGTATATGAAAACACTTCTCAATTTCAAAATGAAACACAAGAGTATCCATTGTATAACTCAGCTGCCCTTGTAGTGACAGATACAGCCATCATTTCTGAACAGGAAAGGATTTACTATATAAAGTTTTCAGCTTTGGAACCGTTTAGATCATTGGCATTTGGATAAGCAATGATATTGGAAGTTGTAAGTGAATGCAGCATTTGTGTTTTGCCATGTCACAAAGAGGATTGACCACAGATGGCAGTAACATACTTTTTTTTCTTTTTAATTTTCAAGAGCCTGTTGCATAAGACTTTAATACTTGTTGTTTTAGGTTTCAGTGTATTTTATACACTGTTTTGTAGACGTTTAAATTTAAAAAAAAAAAAAAGAACAAGCACATATAAACATGAATAATTGTGCCCATTATAGTTTTGATGGACACACAGTACCTTATTTCATGTACATTTTGAAGTTATATGCACTTAAACCTGCTCTAGAGATTATTGTTGCTGGGTAGAGTAAACTACCTTCCATTTAACACATATGGAGTGTTTGCATAGGGAGTCAGTGTGAAGAAGCTAGAATGCTATATAGTCTCACCCTAGGCTATTATACAATAACTTCTGCTATAGACAGGCTGCAAAGCAAATCTTTACTCGCCTGTATTGGGAAGGAATCTTCTAGACAACCAGAGATAATATCAGCATGTTCAGTCAATGCTCACTATGAGAGAGCTTAGCACTGGTAAAAGATCAAAGAATACCCCAAAACTGTTGACCAGTTGCATGTGCATATATGTTCAAGCAAAGGGGGATTGCACTATGGCTTGCTAGGTCTTCAAAAAGCTTTCATCAGCCTTCCCAGCATCACTTCTACCATGCTCCAGTTCAGCTTCAGCTGCTTGTTCACCTCTGACCTCATCTCATGCAAGCACTGGGCCTTCTTGATGTTGGTAATGGGATTGTGTGTAATGAAGGATAGGTAGCGGTATGTGTAATCTGCATACTGCAGGCCCATGAGTCAATGTTGTCTGACCTTTTCATTTCGTAGAGGTTAGGGAGGGAGAGAGAATTGATCTCTGCAGGACTCCAGAAGTGTGAGGGCTTTAGTGTTGGAGGTGGAATTTCCTGTCAGTGCTTGATGGGTACATTACTCAAGGAGGAACTCAGACCATTTTAGCATATTACTCTAGACCTCTGCAACCTCTTTCTCAGATGAGACAGGTAGTGGGGAGTTTTGTGTGCTGCAAACAAGGAGATCATTCCTCAGTGCCAATAAAATGGTTTCAGTGTTGTGTCCTGGTCTGAATCCAAATTATGCCAGGTCTGAGATATTTGAATTCAACAAGCTATCAGTTTCCAGTGGAATGAGAAATTTCAAATTGATTGATGCCTGGCCAGAACAGATATAGGTTTATGACATTTTGTAACATAACTAGTTAAATTTGTTTCAAGGTAACGAGATTTGAAAAATCATTGCTGCAAAAGAGAATTATTAGTATTGTTTACCTTCAAAGGTGACTTAGGACCCCTCTATGCGTGCTGATAAAGGTGCAGTGGAATCTAATGTGCAATCTACATGCGTGGCAGGAGGCATGATTGTGGGATTGTGCATTAGATTGTGTTGCGCCCTATCGCAGGTACCGGGTAAGGCTGGTATCATAATTACGAGCTCCCCCTGCACTGGTTCCGCATTCCACAGCTAACAGACCTCCACAGGGCTCACAGTGGAGGCAGCGTTCCCAGCATTGCCCCAGCTATGAGCTCCACAGCTGCCACCACTGCGCACCTTGTCAGCGACAGGACTGGCAGTAGGTGGTACAGCCCATGGTTGGAAGCCCTTCAGTTGATGGGGTTCCCAGCCACAGAAGAGCACTTGGTTACATGTTCAATTAATGGCATAATTAGAACAAGCTACAAAGTTGTTCCCCATTTTTTGTGGATTTTTTTCCCCCTGTAATAAGACAAGGAATAAGTTATAAAGTTATTTTACAAAAATGTGAAATAACTGTGTAGCTTATTGATTGTTTTATTATGCCATTAATTGGTTGACTGTGTAGCTGGGTCATAACTTAAGGAATAAGTGTGTGGTTAATCACTCCTTAAGTGTAACGTGTAGAGGGGGCCTCAGTCTCATAGTTGCCCCAGTCACACTTCCCTTGTGTTCACGGGAGCAGCATAGGCAGCACACAGGGTTGTACCCCTCGCTGCTGCCCCCGCCTGCAGGGGAAGTGTGGCCAGGGTAGCGGGGAGCTTGGAGTGGCAGGCAGCTATCTGTGCCTCCCGCTGTGCCCTGTTGCACTGGGTCCCATATGCTGCTCTGCAGAAATGGCGGCAAGGGCAGCACAGCAGGAGGCAACAGGTACCAGCGATGCTTCCCTGGAGCCCAGGGCTGGATCTGGGGCTGGGAGGCGGCAGCTGTTTGTAGCCTCCCCACTGCAGCTGGCCCAGGTTCTGGGTAGCTGCTGATAGCCACGGAGCCCGGGCTGATTGCAACAGGGCTTCTATCCTCCCAGCTGGCTGCTGGGAGCAGCCCAGGCTCCATGGCCATCAGCAGCTACCCAGAACCTGGGCTGGCTGCAACCGGGAGGCTGCAAACAGCTGCTGCCTCCTGGGCCCTGGCTCTGGGAAGGCAGCAGTGCTGGCACTGTACCTGTTGGGGGCCAGGAGGCAGCAACTGTGTGTAGCCTCGTGGCTGCATCTGGCCCAAGCTCTGGGATAGCTGCTGCCAGGTATCCCAGGCTGCTTGAACCCACCTGCCACCTGCTGGGAGCAGCCCAGGCTCCCAGCTGACAGCAACTACCCAGAGCTGGGGCCGGCTGCAGCCAGGAGGCTGCAAACAGCTGCTGCCTTCCTGCTCCGGCCCTGGTCCCAACGCGTGCTGAGGAAAATGGCCTCGCGTGCTATGCTCAGCACGCTGCGTGCGGGGGATACCGACCCCTGCCCTAACTAGTTGCATGCAGGGTGTTGCATTCCTTCTTAGACAGCAGGTGGAGCTGCTCTGCTCCATTTGTCTTTTAAAGTTGCCTCCACCTTTTTTCCTGGGACGTTCTGGTAGGTGTGTGTTTTTACAGAAGGCAAAAAACGCCATGGATTTTTATGGATAGGCTTTTTTTTTTTTTTTCATGGAGTGTCCATAAATTTTACAGACAATTGGCTATCCTGTGATAGCTTAGTTTGAGGACCTGTTCTACTTTGCGGTACTTTCAGATTCCATGTAATCTAGCATTCTTTAAGATGCTGTAAATTTAAGAATTTTTGCTACAGTATGTTATATTGCTGTAATCAGGTGATTGCTATTTTAGTGCATCTTCCTGCCCTGCTGGGAAATGCTGTTGAATTTTTATAGTTCTTAAGCTCTCTCAGCAGGGTAATTGGGTAAAATAGTGCCTGTTCCTGTTATTGTAGCAAAAGTTCAGAGGACCAAAGATGAAGTTCATATTTTAGGTTAAGAATGAAGGAAATGCAGACAGAGTGGAGTTCTCTGAAAAATAGCACAGTAGCTGTTGACTGAAGGAATAAACTGCCAGTTAATGGGGTCCTATTTCCTTGGCACACATCGGGAAGAGATTTTGGGCCAAATCAACAGACACTGTCTTGGCGATAACTTGAGAAAAACGGAATTAGACTACTAGGAAAACAGCAAAAAGGCCCAATGTAGGAAAGAATTGTTGACAATAATGAAGTTTTAAATCAAACTGTATTTTCAGCATTTTAAGGACTTGAGAGAGGGAATTACAGATATTTTCCTGAAGATGCTTTAAAATAATGTAGTGGAATTTGTGCCACAAAGTACCTGGGACCCTAATATCTTATTTGCAGCCTATAATAATGATGATGCATATTTGTTATGAGCTTATTTATTGTTGATAATCTTGGAGTTGGGAGTGGGAATTAGAGGAATGGCTTGAGGTACTAATGGCTGGCCATGGTGTAGGATCATAGAACATAGATGTTCCAGCTGAGAAGTATTGAGGTAACCTTTTAGTTCTTAAGGAATTGCTACAGAAGGTGAACTTTTTGTGAAGAAGGCTATGTGGGAACATATAGCATACTTCAGAAGAGGCAATTGTGGTGTACATAGTCCAAAGTGTAATTTTTTTTTATAAGCAAAAGGAGAGGGAGCAGCTCAATGCCATGTTTGTGAAGATCAGGCAATTGTCAGAATGCTGTTTGACTATGTAGTCCTTTCCTGATCTATAGCTGTCTCTGTAGATTCATATTGCGACTGTTTAAAAATGATGGCAGGGTAATGCTATATTATCTACTCAGAGCTTTCAATTGCTTTATCTTTTTAATTACTAACCTTGTTTCTTCAAACATATCAGAAGCACTTGAACTAAATGCATGGCAATGTTGAAACCTTTTAGGCAAACATTTTTATGCAATACATGAAAGTTTTAAAGAAAAGAAAGGGAAATTGAAGCATTTTTTAAATTGTTTCATTTTTTAGTATTGTATACTCAAATGGCTTGGTTGATTTCAGTATGCCTGAAGTTTTCAAAAAAATCACTTACAGTGAGAGAACACACACAGTAATTTTTGTCCCCAAAGTGAACGTTTAGAATGAGATATATTGCTACTCTTTGCATAGAATGTTTTATATCTTTACAAGTTAAGTTGCTTTGGGTAAACATGGTTTTCTCATAATTATGAATTAAGTTGGTAGGTTTAGAATCATGGGAACTTAGTCTTGTTTGAGTAATAAAAAACTACTATAGGACTTTATTATATCAACATGCCATTACATTTATGTGTTAGGAAAGTTCTAACTTAGCTAAATGAATTGACCTTTATGTGGAAATATTTTACAGACCCCAGGCATGACAATTTACGATGGAAAACTGCAGTGGTTTCTGAAGAGATGCGTTTCAAAAAATCAGGTGCATTTCTTACGTTGTTTCCTCTCTGTTTAATATTTTAGGACTGCTGTGCTGAGTGTTACTTTATGATATCACATTTTTATATCAATAGTAATAAACCAAACCAGTACTTTTTATGTAGTAATGGTCACTTACATGCATATAAAGGGAAAATACATAATCAAAATATTTTAAACTTTTCAAACTGAATGTCATATACAAACACTAGTTGCATATGTGATGGTGCATGTAAATAAAATAGACTGAGCTTTAATTTTATAAATAATTTTTATATTCTTTACCTTGTTTGCTCTCAAAGGTAACAGCTCTGGAATCTCTTGTGGAAATTACTCAAAGCCTTGACTGTGATAGAGATGAGATGTACTACAACCTCCTAAAATTGTACGGTAAGTTGTTACAGTCTTTTCTTTTCCTCTTACAAATGGTTGTTCTTGTGGCAGCTTTGTAAGGATTTTTAAAACATTGTTATAGCTATTGCAGAGCCTTGAAAAATCTTAACTGTCAAGGACAGTAATTTCCTGAATTTACCTTCTTTTTTAATTTTCCATGAAAACTATATTTATCAAAAGAGCTATACTCTGTGTTGCTATCTTTTGTGTAAATTTGAAAACTTGCTTGTTCCAATTTCATGGAGCCAATTATTTTGAATACAAAAGAATATGAGAGTCTATAAAGAAAATACTAGTATTTTTTCCTCTTATGCTTTCTGATTCTACATTAGTTGTCTAAAGTTGTACATAGCAGTTGCCAAAGTTCAAGCTTGTTGGCTTTTAAAAGATTCACTTTATTTCATTTTATGAATAAAGTCAGACCCTTGAAAATGATTTAAGTTTTATTATGATCCAAAATTTTCCTTATAAGTTTCTTTTAGTTGTGCCAATGATATTATGATTTTGGATAAAATTTTGTTATGGAGGGACAGAAGGTTTGTTTAAAATATAGACTTGTATATGTTTGGATTTAAAACTACATAGAGCTATTTTCTGTAGCAGATACTGGGTTCATGTTGGGTTCATATAACAAAGCATTGATATAAACGAGCCATAAATCTCCTTTTAGTCCTCATACAGTTCCAATGTGTAGAATCCATTCCACTCCCAGAAGACTTAGGTGGTCATTGGCCCTATAAATGGGTTGGGGAGATCAAATAAAAAAACTTATCTATTGTAACTTAGATCTAACTTGTAGGGCTGTTCCATAGATGTCTGCTGATATGTTACAGCCATGATCCAAAACAGCAAGTGTACTAGCAGCAGTGTTTACTGGCTCCTTTTGTCCATGCAATTACTTGCTTATTTCACCTTGCTGGTGAACTCCTGGGAGTTGACCAGAGGAGTACTTTTGTGCCTTTTGCATAAGTGCAGGTGGGACAGCCAGTCTACTTTCAGAACACCTTCACAGTAGCTATGTTAGACTTAAGTGCTACAAAATGTTGTGTGTTGTCTGTTCATCCTATTTTCACCCAGTTCGATTGAACTAACCCCTTTTATGTTTTAAAATTAAATAAGGAAGTGAAAACCCCTGTTCCTGTCTTTAACAGTGTTTTTACATATGCTGTCGGGGTGGGGTGGAGGGGCTTTAATTAGAGTGTCTCTTGGAGCTACTCTAAAGCTCCGAGACTGTCTCATGTATCAGCATCCCCATGCTTCAAAATGGTGGCAGGGGCACTTTATCTTAAGCTCTTTGAACAAGCTTTAAAGTCTCCCCGCTGCCATTTTGAAGCATGGGAATGCTGATACATGAGACACAGAGGCTGGCTGGAGCATGGTAATTACCATGCTCCAGAAGACTCAGTT